CATCATCCACAAATAACAGGATTTTCCATTGAGGCAAAAAACATTTGTATCATTTGAATATCAGTAACATCCCCCCAGCTCAGTATTCTCCCAAAAACTCTCATCATGGACATTTCTAACCAAGCCAAACTTACCTGAACAGCCAGATTTGGAATATCCGTGTTGAATTCCAGGTGGGTTAAGGAATTGAGGAATTTTTGTATTCCCTGGACACGAATCTTTTCCACATCTGCGAGGGAACAGACTCCAGGAACCCCTGCACCAAATCCTACAAGTTTTAAAAAGGGACTTTGACCACAAAAAACTTTTTTTTTTTCTCTCAGGTGCAACATTCCAACCAATCCCAACAGCCTGGAATCGGGAAATTCCAAAGATTCCGTTTGTGGCACACCTTGATCCAAAGGGCAGCAGGAAAAGGTTTCAAATCCTTTCAAATCCTCAGCACATGGCAGCTCCTTTTCCAGCCTGGTTTTCCCACACTTCAAAAAAACCTCAGGAATGGGAGGTGAAGAATCCCAAACTGGGGGTGGATCGTACCAGCAGGATGACTCGGAGTTAAAATTGGGACTGCACAACACAGAGACCGGGTCGGAATCCACGGATATCGAAAAATTGTGGGATTTAGATCTTTCAGGTTCCAAAATTTTCCAGATTTGTTTATTCCCACACCAGTTTTGTTCTGGATTAGGGACCGGGAGAGAGTCAGGTTGTGCAGGGAGCTGGAAAATAATTTGATTTACAAGATTCCCATCCTTCAGGACTAACGAACAAGGCAAAATTTCGGGATTTGTGGTGATCCCAGGTGGGATCAAACAAGGCCAGGACCCAAAACCAACGAGGTTTCCAAGGAATATAGGTATCCTTGGATAAACATTGTGGTTCTATGACGTCCTGGATGGATGTCCTGGAATTCCACTGACTTTCCCAATCCAAGGAAAATCAAGACTGGTTTCTCCTGAATATTTTCTCCACACTGGACACCATCCTATAAATCCATGGGATTAATGGAATACTGAGTTCTGGCTCCGGGTGGAGGATTGAAGCCACCTGTTTCCTGATTGTGGGGTTTTTCCTCAAAAATATTCCAAACATATTCCAAAAAATATTCCAAACATAATCCAAAAACTTTTCTGGGAAAACTGTGCCTTGGCCTCACCACCCTCACAGGGAGGAATTTCTTCCAGGTGTGGAATCTTTTCCGCCTTTTCCTTCCCCTTTTTTCAAGATAAATCAAGGAATTTTTATTTGTTTTATTTTTATTTATATTTATTTATATTTATTTTGTTTTATTGCATTTTATTGCATTGCATTTTATAACTTTTTAAAATAGATATCATGATTTAATTAATCAACAAATTGCCATCAAAAAATTTTCCGTTACAAAAGTAGGAGGAAAAGCACCAGGGAAAGCTTTGCCCCAAAACTCCACCACCTCCTCCCACTCCAAAAATAAATGGAATAATCCCAAACTAAGCTTGGAATTTCCATGACAAAAAGGAAGAAAACCAGGATAACCCTGCCCCAAAAAACACCCAACACCATTCCTAGGGAAAAAGAAATCCCAAACCGAACATGATTTTGTCCCACCACTGGGATTTCCCTTTTTCCCCCGAATTTTTGGTCCATGGAACCCTTTTCCCCCACTAAACCCTGGTGGAACAGGGAATGTTTTCCCACGGGAGGATGAGGAGGAACATCTCGACCTCTCCCAGCTCGGTGGAAGATGACTCAGGAAGCGGGATGGGATTTTCCTGATGTTTTTCCCGAGCTCCAACCCCCTCTGGAAAATGCAAATCTCGGCTTCCAGCGACCATAAATCCGAGGACAAAGGTTGATCCCAACCCCATTCCCGAGGGAGCCGTTGGGTCCTTCCCGCTCAGGTACGGAATTCCCCGTTGGAAAAAAAAAATCCCTGAATTAACCAGGATTAATTAATTGAACTGGAATAAATTCATTTAGCAGGAACAGATTAATTGTTTTCATGGTTTGGGAGGAATGCTGGGCGTAACCAGACTTTTCTTGTGGGAATTCCTCTCCCAAGGGATTATCTGTGATTTGAGACTTGGCAGAAAACACAGGAAATCCTAGGAAACCGGGATTAAATCTCAATTAAATCCCAGTTTGCTGCTCAATTTGATCATTTATATTCACCCAGAGCAGGAAATTCTTGGAGCCAGATCCATAAAATCACAGAATTCCCTTTAACACAGCAGGATCGAGATCCTGCTGCTCCTGGGAATCCGTTTGTTGTTGGAATTTTTTACCATATAAAATTATAAATCAAAATATTATATTGAAATATAAAATGCAATTATTATATTTATTATGATAAAATATATGTCATATCATTATAGTTAAATATATATAAAAATATAATTATTACATTATGTATTATTACACTATAAACCAACTGTAATTATTATAAATTATTAATAACTATTAAAGTATAATAATTATAGTGTATATTATTTATTAAATATTATTATATAGTTATACATAAATTATTTTCTTATATAATAAATACAGTAATTCTAATAAAATAATAATATATATTTATCATTTATTTCTTTTAAATACTTCTTTTAAATACCATTTATTTCTTTTAAAATTTCTTTAAAATTTCTTTTAAATAAATTTCTTTTAAATAAATATATATTAAAATAACAAAATACAATTACAAAACATGTTAAATTATAATATCAAAACATAATCTCCAAATACATCAAAATACATCAAAATAAAGTGTTAAAATATAATATCAAATATAATCCCAAAATACAGTATGAGAATATAAAACTTACTATAATATAAAAATATAGTCCTAAAATAGAATATTAAAAAGAATCTTGAAATATAACTTTAGAAATAGAGTATTTAAAATATATAAGAATATTGTATTGAAATATAATATTAAAGTATAATATCAAAATAGTATCAGAATAAAACCTCAAAGCATTAGAAAAAGCTTATATAAAATCTAATAGCAAAATGTAATAGCAAAATCAATTATTGAAGATAGCATTAAAATATACCAAATCATAGTATTAAAATATAACATTAAAATATATCAAAATATAACATTGAAATATAATATCCAAATATAATAATATTAGATGAAATTAATACTGTAATATTAATACTTGAATGGAATGTGGAGGTATATTATAAAAGATGGCATCAAAATATGATAACAAATACAATAATACAATAATACAGTATTAATATAATATTTTAAAATAATATAATTATAATATAAAATATGGCATCAAAATACAATGTTAAAATATAAAATTAAAATAGAATATCCAAATAATTCAGTAAGAATTTATTATTCTATTAAGAGGAAAATATAAAATTAAAATATTAACTCAAAGTACAATATTGAAATATATTATCAAAATATGATACAATTCTAAATTAACATTATAATATTCATGATTGGATATGTTACCATATAAAATATGGTATCAAAGTACAATGTTAAAATTTAATATTAAAATATAACAATATAATATTAAAATATACTATTTTGATCTTAATATTAGATCTTTTATAATTGAATATAATTTAAACATGTAAGATATGGTATTAAAATATATTAAAACATAACATTAAAATCTAATTAAAAGAGAAAATATTTAAATATATCTAAATAGAATTATGATATTTATAATTTAATAAAATGCATACTATAAATGCATATCAAAATATCTGAATCTCTAAATATAATATCCAGATATAATAAAACAATATTAAATTCATTTAATAAAAATGTTATAATGTGTCATAAAAATATTGTATCGAACTCTTATATAAAAATACGATATTGAAATATGATATATAAATATAATACATTATTAAATTAATGTTCTAATATTAATAATTTTATATAATTTTAATGTATAATATCAAAAATTTCATTGAAATATAATGTCAAAATACACTGTTAAAATTTAGTATTAACACATAATCCCAAAATCCAATATTAAAATCCGATATCAGAATCTGATATCAAAATAACATCAAAACCCCACCAAAGTCTGATACCAAAATAACCTCCAAAGATCCCACGAAACGCTTGGAATTCCTCAGTGATGGGGAATGAGGAATCTCTGAAAATCTCTAGAAAACCATGGAAGGATTTGATGGATGGATTTAAATCGTGTGGGGATCCGCGGGAAGGAAAATCCCGTTTTCCATGGGATTTCACTGGATGTTTCTCTCTGAGTTTTCCTCTCTCCCTTCTTTCCTTGTTTCCCATCTGGAAGAGCCCAAGGGACTCTCACGGGTTCCGGAGCAGCGAGCCAGAATTATCCATGGATTCCCGGCTCTGGTGGCTGGTGCTGCTCCCAGTCCTGGCTGCAGGTGAGAGCAATTCCATCTGGGATCTGTTCCCATGAAATGGCCGATTCCTGCTCCGAAACATGAATTAAAACCTAAAGAGGATGTGGGATTTAACTTGGAAAAGGTTCCTTTTCCAGAGGGTGGAGCAGCTCTCATTCTGGAACTCACGGAGCACAATGTTCCCAGGGATTGTTGGGATTGTCCTGGGCAGGGCCAGGGGTTGGACTCGAATCCTCTTCCAGCTCAGGGTATTCCATGATTTTATCACCTGCATCCCAATCCCATGCTGGGAGAGCCTCTGGGAATGGGGATGTCCAAGGAACACCTCGTGTATCCTTGGGAATCTGAGAGCTTCCACATCTGGCAATGTAGGGATGAATTCTACACCCTGGGACATTCCAAACCTTCCTGGGAACCTCTCCTGGGGTGGGCAGTTCCCACCTGGAATTTTCTGGAGGTAAATCCCAGGTTTGAAGCTTCTATTTTGGATAGAATTTGCTGTTTCCATCTATTTTTTCCAGGCTTTCCCAATGCTTTAACAGCCAAGAAATTGAATTATTGTTCAAAATGTCAAAGGATAAATCCATGAGCACCGCATCCCCATTCTTTTTGTTTTCCTGTGGACTCCTCTCCTGTTGAGGGTGCAGTCGGTCCCGATGAAATTCCATGGAAAACACAATGCAGAAAACCAGAACCAAGCCCCATTTTACCCTAAAACAGGTGGATTCCTTGGCCCTCCCAAAACTCCCATCCTTGGAATCATCGGGGATAGGGTGGTCCTGCCCTGCCAGGTGAGGTCCGCACCAATTCCTGAGGATTTCTCCGTCCGCTGGACATTCCGTGGCCAATCCCAGCGGATCCCCGTGAGCAGCTACAGCGGAAAGGGCTGGAGAGAGGAGCCCAGTGAGCGATACTGGGGCCGGACGGAATTTTTCCACGGGGAATTCCAAGCTGGGAACGTGTCCCTGCTCCTGAGAGACGTCCGGAGCTCCGACCAGGGATCCTACAGCTGCGAGGTGTCATTCCAGGATGTGTCCCAGGAAGTCTTGATGGAGCTGGAAGTGGCAGGTTGGTACTGTTCCCTCTTTTTCCTTCACTGCACAAAACTGGGTGAATATTTGAAATATTGTTAAACATTTTAATAATTTTTTTGCATTTTACGGTTATTAAATAATTAAATAATATAAAAATAATTTGTTTAATATTTTACATGTAATAATTTATGTATTTTTATCATTAATTTTTATTTTTATATTTTTTGTAGTATTTATATTTGACATCTTATATGTTGTATATCACATGTATAACATGTATACATGTATATACATGTATAACATATGTTGTATAATATAAATATTACATTATATAAATATATAAATATATATAAACACATTCTATATATAATGTTGATATATTTTATATATTAGTAAAGGCCTGTCTGCACAAACCAGTCTTTGAAATAAGTCGTGATATTAAAGGCTAAAGTCCTTGAAACCTTCCTGCAGAAGAGAGAGTAAAGCAAAACAATATCCTTGTGTATAAGAGAAAAAATGTAAACTTGTGTGTATTAGCCAATAGTAACTTGCTTAGCCCACAGACCCTGTAAAACCCTATATAAGTGTGCTAAAAATAGAAATAAACGGCGTTCACTTTTACTTCTGTGAAGGGTGGTGAAAAAGCTGTCCGTCTCTCAATAATATAATAATATATAAATTATATTAAATAAATAAATTTTTTACATGCTATATAGTTATACAAAGATATATTATAATTTACTTTTATATTACAAAATTATATTAAATTAATTGTATTATGATATTAAATATGTTAATATATAATAAAATGATATGATATAAGGTATTATATATGATATTATATGATATGATATATAGTGTACTTTTATTAATGCATTTATAAATATTAATTCATTTATAAATATATTACTCATTTATTAATTAATGCATTTATAAATGTATTCATAAATTTTATATTAATATTTATTATATTATAATATAATTATATTTATATATTAATGCATTTATAAATATATTGCAGTATATGTTACAATGTATCATATATATAATCTATAAGAAAATAAATATAAGTAATTAAATTAATTGTATTATTATATTAAATATATTAATATATATTATAAAATGATATGATGTAAGGTATGATATATGATATTATATATGATATATAGTGTACTTGTATTAATGCATTTATAAATATTAATTCATTTATAAATATATTACTCATTTATTAATTAATGCATTTATAAATGTATTCATAAATTTTATATTAACTATATATTATTAATTTTATATTAACTATATATTATTAAATTTTATGTTAATATTTATGTTAATTATATAAATTTTATATTAATATTATTTATAGTGTTTATATTTTATATAAATAATAATATTCAATTAAAAATATATTTATTATATTATAATATAATTATATTTATATATTACAGTATATGTTATAATATATCATATATATAATCTATAAGAAAATAAATATAAGTTGTATATTCTTTTTTACATTAATATTTATCTGTGTTTCTAGGTCTATATAACATGGTTTATAACTATATTTTTATCTTTCATACTTTTACATTTTATATATTTGTTTCTACAACTTTTATATTTCATACCTTCCCCAAAATCCTGGGAAATTCCAGTCCCAAATCCATCCCAGAACCGCCCCCACCCCACCATCCATTTCCAGATTCTCCATTAAATCCTTCATTCCCAAGGACCTTCCTGGATCCATTGACCACTGAGAACCTCCAGAGCCCTTGGATCAAATCCTGGAAATTCCTCTGAGATTTTCCAGCTCCCGGGCAAAAAACTGAGTTCCAGAAACGCTCAATCAAATAGAACTGAAATGGAAAATTCCTGGTTTTCCACAGCTGTTAGAGAACCTCCATCTTTGATCCCACAACAGCAGCTCCTCAAGGAACAGAATGGTCGGTTTCCAGAAAACCCAAATTTAATGGGATTAAAGTGAAAAATTCCTGCTTTTCCACAGAGGTTCCATCCATGACCCTGTGGTGACAACTCCTCAATGAACAGAATTGTTGACTCCCAAAAATCCCAATTTAATGGGATTAAAATTTGTCCATTTTTCCACAGCTGTCAGAGAAACTCCATCTGTGATCCCGCAGAGCCCTGAGAAATGGGTCCTCGGACACTCCTCAGTGAGTGGAATCCTGGCATTCCAAAAATCCCCATTTTAATGGGATTAAAGTGGAAAATTCCTCTTCTTTTCCACCGAGGTTCCGTCCGTCATACTTTGGTGGCAACTCCTCAATGAATAGAATCACTGAGTTCCAGAAAACCCAAATTTAACTGGATTGAAATGGAAAATTCCTCCGGTTCTCCACAGACGAACACATCCGTGATCCTTTGGTGACAACACCTCAATGAACGGGACCCTTCAGTTCCAGAAAACCCAAATTTAACGGAATTAAAACGGAAATCCTTCTGTTTTTCCACAGCCATTGGCACCATCCATGATTCTGCAGAGCCCCCAGGAATTAGACCTGGGCAGCTCCTCAGTGAACAGAACTGTTGACTTGCAAAAGTCACAATTTAACAGGAATAAAAGGGAAAATTTTCCCATTTTTCCTCAGCCCTTGGAGAGGATCCATCCATCATCCTTTGGCGGCAACTCCTCAGTGAACGGAATTGTGGAGTTCCAAAAAGCCCAAATTTAATGGGATTGAAATGGAAAATTCCTCTGTTTTTCCACAGCCATTGGAGGGGTTCCATCCATGATCCTGCGGCAGCAACTGCTCAACGAACGGAATTGTTGATTTCAAAAAAACCCCGAATTTAACGTTAGGATTAAAACTGAAAATTCCTGTTTTTCCACAGCCATTGGAGAGGTTCCATCCACGATCCTGCGGCAGCAACTCCTCAACGAACAGAATTGTTGAGTTCCAAAAAACCCCGATTTTAACGTTAGGATTAAAACTGAAAATTCCTGTTTTTCCACAGCCATTGGAGAATCTCCATCCGTGATCCTGCGGAGCCCCGAGAAGCGGAGCCTGGGCGTTTCCTGCCGTGCCTCCGGGTGGTTCCCGCGGCCGCAGCTGCTCTGGCTGGACGGACGCGGCAAGGTCCGGCCGGAGCCGATGACCACAACGGCCGCGGTGATGCCCGGGGGACTCTTCAGCGTCGAGGCTTCCATGAGGATCCAGCAGGGATCCGACCTGGAGATCTCCTGCCGGGTCCTCAACCGCCGGCTCAACGCCTCCCGCGAGTCCCGGATCCGCATCCATGGTGGGAAATGATTCCCGGGAAAAATTCCTGCGGGAACTGCTCTGCTCCTGCTTTAATTTGATTTTTCCTAATTAGTTGAGTGAAAAGGGTCGGAAGGCTTTAATTTTATTGATTAGCGTATAATGGATTTTAAATTTAATTTAATTTCATTTAATTTAAAATTTATTTTTGTATTATTTTGGTTTGGTAATTAACAGCTCTTATCAAGGTCTTTTACTGATTATCATTTATTGATGTTTTAATTTAATTTAATTTGATTAAATTTAATTTAATTCAATTTAATATAATTCAATTTAATTAAATTTAAAATTTATTTACTTTTATTCTATTTTGGTTTTGCTAATTAGCAGCTCTCATCAAAGTCTTTAATTTAATTTATTATCATTTAATGATTGATTGACTAATTGAATTTTATTTTTGTAATTAGCCTCTCTGGATGGATCCGAAAAGTTGGAATCATTAATTTTATGGATTAGTATTTGATAATTGATTTATTTAATTTAATTTTTGCTAAAGAGCGGCTTCAGTTGAATTCAAATGGTTTGGAGTCACTCATTTTATTTATTATCACTGATTGCTTGATTGTTTTAATTTAATTCTTTCTAATTAACAATTCTTTTGAAAATCTTTAATTTTATTGATTATCATTGACTAACTGCTTGAATTTGATTTTTGCTCATTGGTTACTCTAATTGGATGCAAAAGGTTAGAAGTCTTTAATTTTATTGATTCCTATTTATTGATTGGTTGAGTTTATTCTATTTTATCTTTGCAAATGACCAGCTCTTGTTGAAGTCCTAAATTTGATTTTATTTTTAATTTAATTTTTTTGATATTTCTATTTTATTTTCTAGTTTTATTTTTATTTTTGTATCTATTTATACCTTCATGTTTTATTTTTACATTTTATTTATTAGCAGAATTTATGGATTGATTTAATTAGAAGTAAAATAAAACTTCCTCACCTCCCACCCTGACCTGTGTTTTGCCTCCTAATTTACCAGTGCATTTATAATTGAATCATCAATAGAATGCTTAATCATTAATAAAATATCTAATCATAAATGCCAATCCTTAAATCAATAATGAAATATTTAATACTTAATTGAATATTTGAGCCTTAATCAAATGCTTAATCATTAAATCATTATTAGAATATTTATTAATTTCTGGAAATCCAAAACATTAATTAATTAGTTAATCAAATACTAATTAATTAGTACAATAGCTTACTGGAATACTTATTCCTTAAAACATTATTAGAATATTTATTAATTAGCGGTTTTAAATATTAATTAAGAAAAAATTAATAAATATTTCTGCTTTTTAAATTAATACAATAGTTAATCCTTAATCAATTATTTAATTCTTAACTCCTTAATTGAATACTTAATCCTTAATGGAATATTTATTATATAAATCCTTAATAGATCATGTAAAAGCTAATGGAAAATTGAATCCTTAAATAATTAGCAAATTATTTAATCCTTAATGGAAAAATTAATTATTAAATCATTATTAGAATAATTAATAGTTCATGGGAAATTCAAACCTTAAATAACTAAGATAATATTTAATCCTTAATAGAATATTTCATACTTAAATCATTAATTTTATATTTAATAATTAACGGAAATTAAAGCCTTAAATCATTAATAAAACATTGATAAGTATTTTAATATCTAGGCCCTAAATCATTAATACAATATCTATTAATTATTTTATAATTATATAATTAATTGCACATTTAATAATTAATGGCAAATAATAGCCCTAAATAATTAATAAATTAATGAATAACTTTTAATATATAGACCTTAAATAATAGAACTGTAAATTAAATTTAGGCCTTCAATTAATAGAATATAAATATATACATTAATTAATAATTATTAATAATTATTAATTGATAATTATTAATTATAAACTATTAATTATAACTATTAATTAATAAAAGTAATAACAATGACAATGACAATATTAATAACAATAATATTAATAATGTTAATATTAGTATTAATATTAATAATATTAGTAATGTTAATAATGTTAATAATAATGTTAATAATAATAATGTTAATGTAATAATAATCAATAATTATAATTAATAATTAATAATTATTAGTTAATTATTTTATTATATTATTATATTATATTATATTATATTATATTATATTATATTATATTATATTATATTATAATTTATTAATTATTAGTTTATTAATTAATTAGTTTATTAATAATTAATAATTAACAATTTGTAATTAATAACCTGAATTTTTTCCTCTCTTTTTCCCAGACAGTTTCTTCCCCTCCATCTCCCGGTGGCTGCAGATTTTCCTGGTGGTTTTGTTCCTGAACTTGGCCCTGATTTCCGTCGTTTTCTGCCTGCTCCAGGGTGAGTTCCGGCTCCGGATCCTGTGGGAAAATCCCAAATCCCACCAGAATCCAGGGAAAAACCGGCTCATCTCAGTGAACAACCAAACCTGGGAAAAGAAACCAAATTTCCCATCCAAAACATGAGGAAAAATGGAATTTTCTTTTTTCTTTTTATTTTTATTTTTACCCAGCGAGCCACAAGAGAACTGTGAATGCAGGTGAGGAAACTAATTATTAATTAATGATCCCTAATGGCATTAATGTTATGTATTTTTATACTTTAATTTTTACTTTTAATTATTTGATTAATTTTTACTTTAATTATTTTTTTTTATTATCACTCTAACAACGTAAAATAAAAATTATGAATTATTAAATTTCAAAAGATGAAACATTAAATGTAAAACATTATATGTATTAATAAAAAAATTAACTAGAAAATAAAATTATATATTATTAAATATTACTAAACTAGATATAGAAGTAGAAAATACTATAAAATATTGAAAATATTAAATCTATTCATTTCCAAATTAATTTAAATGAAAGCTAATTAAAGACATTAAATATATTTAATAGTTAATTAGACATCGATTGAATACTTAAGGCACCAATATTAATTATTAAATATTAGATATAAATTAAATATAATTACAAAATGAATATAAATATAACCATAAATAGTTAAATAATATTAGTTTAAAAATCTTACAGAATTAAATAATTAAAAGTTTTCTCGATTTTCCAGGAAAGGCAAACCTGGAAATGGAGGAAGGTAAAAATCCTCGGTATTTGAAATTATTTTTTGCTGTAGTTACAAATCTTTTACAATTTAAAAATTCTAAAATTTGCTATGTTTTCTTCCATTTATGTTTTTGATTGAGTTGCTAATTTTTTTAATTTGATTTAATTTTTGTATTTTTTAATCAATTGAAAACTTTAAATATGCCCTAATTGAAAAATATTTTAAATTACCGATATTTTGCAGTTAGAATTTTTCACTCATTTCTGATTTTTTACCATTAAAAAGTGATAAAATCTACGTTTACGGGGTTGTTTTTTTGCAAATGTCTTTAAGTTTAAATGTAAAAACAATTAAAATATTAAAAATATAAAATCTCATTATTAAAAATAATAATCACTGAATTGCATAAACCTCATCTATTAAATAAATGAATTTCAAAGAATTCAATACTTCCATGGATTGCATATTCCAAATAATCAAAAAATGAAATTCCAGTGTGATCGAGGTTCCTGAATTGGGATTTTTGCGGGTCAAAATTCCACATTTTCTCTTCCAGAGAAAAAGAAAGTGAAGTCGGTGCTGGGTGAGTCTTTCCCTTTTTCTGCCTTTTCTCCCTTTTTCCACCTTTTTTTCCCATTTTTTCCCACCTTTTTTCCCCTTTTTCCCACTTTTTTTCCCACATTTTTCCCCTTTTTTCCCCCTTTTGTCCCCTTTTCTCCCTTTCCCTATGGACAGGAGTCTACAAACAACATTAATAACAAATATAAACGAACATTATTAAATATTAATAAATTAATATTTCTCCCTCCTATCCCTTTGATTCCATGTCCGGAATTCCCAGATGGAGAAAAAGCCAAGAAACGAGAAGGTAAATCCCATTTTCTTGAAATTTCAGAATTTTTTCCCCAATTTTCCCTCCCCCTTTTTTTCCCCCTTTTCTCCTTTCCTCCCTTTTTTTCCAATGCCTTTCCCGCTGATATTTTAATTTTTCCATGGAATTTTTATCATCACTCATTCCTCGCTTTTTCTTTCCAGCAAAAATCCAGTTCAAGAAACACTTCGGTAATTAATTCCATAAATCCGCATTTCCCCCCAAAGTTTATTCAAAATATAACGGGAATTCCGCTTATTATCCACGTTTTCCCTGGAATTTGGAGCTAATTAAGCCAGGGAGAGGAATTTCCTCGTATTCCAAACTCGGGGGTTGTTCTGATGGAAAAAACCGGGATGAGTGGAACAGGAAAATCCAACAAAACTGACGGGAATAACCTTCCCTTTCAGGTCAGCTGAAAGCCGAGCTGGGTAAGCTTGGAAAACCGCCGGAATATCCAAATTCCTGGGATTTGGTGGGGATTAAATTGGAATTCTGGGGGGGGGGGGGAAGTATGGAATTCCTCTATAAAACGAGAATTCCCTTTTTTCCCTTCTTCTCGTAGATTTCTGGGAAGCGCGGAGCCACGCGGGTGAGCCGGAAGGAGCTGGAGCTCTGGGATTTTGGGATTTGGAAATTCAGGGATTCGGGGATTTGGGGTTTCAGGAATTCAGTGGCCCCTTGGATCCTCAGTGGCCACATCCCATATTCTGTGGAATGTTTGAATTCCTTGTTGAACCACCCCAGGACCTCACCCACTCTGGGATTCTGGGATTTGCGGATTTGGGGATTCCAGGATTCAGAGATTCTGGGATTTGGGGATTCCAGGATTCAATGATTTGGGGATTTTGGGATTCAGGGTTTCTGGGTTTCTGGGATTTGGGGATTCCAGGATTCAGAGATTCTGGGATTCTGGGATTTGAGGATTTCAGGATTTGGGGTTTCTGGGATTTGGGGATTCCAGGATTTTGGGATTCAGGGTTTCTGTGATTTGGGGATTTGGGGGATTCCAGGATTCAGAGATTCTGGGATTCTGGGATTTGGGGATTCCAAGATTCAGGGTTTCTGGGATTTGGGGATTTGGGGATTCCAGGATTCAAGGATTTCTTGGGGCTTTGCAGATTTTGGGGTTCAGGGTTTCTGAGATTGTGGATCTTGAGATACTGTGATTCCAGGATTTGGGGGTTTTGTGATTTGGGGATTTTGGTATCCAGGAATTCAGGGGTCTGTGGATTCTGGGATTTGGGGTTTCTGTGATTTGGGGATTTTGGGGATTCCAAGATTCAGGGTTTCTGGGATTTGGGGATTCCAGGATTCAGGGTTTCTGGGATTTTGGGATTCCGGAATTCAGGGTTTCTGGGATTTTGGGATTCCAGAATTCAGGGTTTCTGGGATTTTGGGATTCAGGGTTTCTGGGATTTTGGGATTCAGGGTTTCTGGGATTTGGCCATTCAGGGATTCTGAAATTTGCGGGTTCTGGGACTCGGGGATTCCGCAGCTCCTCAATTCCTCAGTGGCCGCATCCCCTGCAGTCCCCGGGAATATCCCAATCCCTCACGGACCCTTCCCGCTCCCCGCAGTTCCCGTGGAGCTGGATCCCGAGCAGCGGCCCCTGGATCTCGGGGACGCGCAGGATCCGATCCCGGTTCTGGTGGCGCGGGACTCGCTGGGATCCGGGAAGCGCTACTGGGAGGTGGAGCTGGGCCGGGAGCAGCGCTGGGCTCTGGGCGTGCTGCGGAGCCTTCCCGAGGCGGATTCCCGGGATTCCCGCGATTCCCGGGATTGCCGGCACATCTGGGCTCTGCGCGCATCCCGGGGCCAGCTGTTCTCCAGCTGCGGCCGCGCGCTCGGGGAGCAGCGCCCCGGCCTCTCCGCGCTCGGCGTCTTCCTGCAGCTGGAAAAGCGACAGCTGGAATTCTACGACGTGGAGCGGATGGATCTGGTGGCGGGGATGCCGCTGGAGGCCGGGGAGGATCATTCGGGAAAGTTCTTCCCGTTCGTATCCCAAACGGGAGAGGGGACGCCGCGGATCCGCCCGGTGCGCATCCCTGTGCCGCTGGAAATCCCGGGGGATCCGGGAGAGGCTCCGCGGGAAGAGGAAAATAGTGAAAAATTCAATACGGGTGGTGGAAATTAAAAAATAATCGTGGAAGTTTTTTGTTTGCTTTTTTTTAAAAAAAAGAAAAAGAGGGAAAGTGGGAAAAAAGTAAAAAAAAAAAAAAGTGGGAGAGCTGGAAAAGATAAATGGAAAAGGGAAAAGAGAAAAGGGGGTTGGCAAAAAAGAAGGGAAAAGGTAAAAAAGAAGGGGGGGGGACAAAAAAGGAAGGAAAAAGGAGGGGAAAGGGGAAAACGGAGGAGAAGGGAAAAAGGGGGAAAGGAGAAAAAAGAAAAAGGGGGACAGGGACTAGAAGGGAAAAAGGACAATGGGAGGGGAGAATTTCTGGCAGGAAAAGGAGTTAAAAGAGGGAATTTTGTCTAAAATTGGAGTTAGTTTGTCCTTTTTTTCCTGGTCTGTGGAATGTATGGGGTTCTTTATCCTCAAGTCCGTTCGGAGTGGATTTTCCTGGATAAAATCCCCTCTTTTCACCGATTTTCCCTGGATGAAAACCCCGGGTTTTAGCAGTTTTCCCGGGAATTGCCCTCCTGAGGATTCCAGAAGCCCCCCGGGGGTTTTGGGGGGTTCCCTTTGTGTCCCCAAGGTTTGGAAGAGTCCCCTTCATGTCCCCCCCCCTTTGGTGACACCCCCGAAGCTCCCAGGGGGCGTGGCCTCCCCTCAGTCCCCGCCTCCTCAGCCTACTCCCACTCCCATTGGCTCTCTGCGCTGTCAGTCACTGCCAACAGCCAGCCAGAATGGCTCCTGCCGGCCCGCCTGTGTCCCGCCTCTTTGCAGCATCTCGCTCTCCTATTGGCTGCCTTAGCTGTCGATACGAGCCCGCAGCCGGCGGTGTGGGCGGGGCCTCCCTGAAATTGACAGCGCGCTCGCCCAATGAGGGGCGGAGCCTCGCCGCCTCCCCAGCGTACGGCGGGCCGGGGGGGGGAGAATTTCGGGAGTGGGGAGAAATTTGGGGGCCTCGGGACCCTCCGGGACCCCCCGGGATCCCCCCGGGACCCCTCAGGGGCGGGGCCGGGCCCGGCCACTCCGGCCCTTTGTGTCGGCGAGCGGCGGGCGAGGGGCCGGGAGCGGCTCTTGGGGGGGGCTGCGGGAGGGACCCCCAGGTTTGAATGGGGGGCGGGGGGCTGTGGACACCCAGGGTTTGGTGAGTGGGGGGCAGGACCCCGTGTCTGGGGGGGCTGCGGGACCCAGGGCTGGGAGGGCTTCAAGGATGGGAGGGGTCGGGGGGGGCTCCGCGACCCCCGGTTTGGAATGGGGGGGGAAGGAGTCCAGGTCCTGGGGGGGCTTCACGGCCGGGAGGGGGTCGGGACCCCCAGGGCTGGGGCGGCTGCGGGTTCGGGACCCGGGTCTGCGGGGATTTGGGGATCCCGGGGCAGGAGGGAGGGGGTCGGGACCCCAGTTTGGACTCGGGGAGGGGGAGGACATTACAAAGG